GTATAGGTGAGTTGAAAGAGAGAGTACGACTAGGCATTCGATTGATGAGATATGCGGATGTTAGAATGGCATCTCCCCAGAATGTTTTTGGCATGTTTGTAGTGAACATTAAAGTACAAGCAACTTCAAGTAAGTGTCTATTTTTTCGTTCAGCAAGCCCATTTTGTTGGGGAGTGTTGACACATGAGCTTTGATGGACTATTCCGTGTCTGTGTTGACACATGAGCTTTGATGGACTATTCCGTGTCTTTTAAGGTAGTCTTGCAAAGTGGTATTGAAATATTCTGTGCCATTGTCAATACATAGAATTTGAAGTTGTGTTTGAATCATAGAGTGGAAATTTATGAATACTGTGCGAACATCAGATTTTTATTTTAGTAGATAAACCCAACATAATCGAGTGTGGTCATCGATGAATGTGACAAACCATTTTGTGTGGGTACGATTGGGATCACGAGAAGGTCCCCATAAGTCACTGTGAATTATGGCAAATGGCTTAGATGGTTTGTATGTGGAATTTGGAAAATTTGTTCGTTGATTCTTTGCAAATTCACAAATTTCACATTGAAGCTCAAATGATGTTTTATTCAAGAAAAGAGAAGAAAGTACACGCTTCAAGTATTGTAGACTAGGATGACCCATTCTATAGTGCCATAACAGAATTTCACTATCCCTAGAAACAGACGTTGAATTACAACTTGAAAATTGACCTAGCTTACTCATATCAGCTTCTTCGAAGTAGTAAAGTCCTTCACACTCTTTAGCATTGTCAATCATCTTCCCCGATGAAAGGTCCTAAAAGACACAATATGATGGGAAAAATTTAGCTGAGCAATTGGAATTTTTTGTAAGTTGACTAACAGATAATAAGTTATAGGACAAATTTGGGACATGAAGGACTGATACTAGTGTTAAAGATTAAGAGATTTTAATACTCCCTTTTCCTACAATCCAAGGGGTTTTGTGTCGTGAAGTATTTAAGACTTTCAAAAAGTTACATTTGTGAGCTAAAGAACTAGATGAACCTTTTGAGGACGATTGACTGGATGTCTGGAGACTGAAAAAAATTTGGTAGAGTTGTTCCAGTTGTTCTGAATTAAATGTCCCGCTTAGAGTGGGATTAATGTTTGTCTCGGCTTGGTATCCTCGGCCCTTTGTGTTTTGCTTTGGTTTTCAGTCCACTGGTTTCTCGTGAATATCCCAACAAGTGTCTTCTTTGTGCTCCGATTTGCGACAATGTTCACACCACGACCGTCCTCGCTGCTGTTTTTGGTTGGTCGCCCGGCTATCCCTTTAGATGACAAGCCCAATGCTCCTTGTTCATTTATAATTGCTGGTCCAAAATTTGTTTCACTTTCTGGCCCACCTTTTATTTCATTTCCAAGCCCAAAGAATGCTGGCCCAGTTCTATTTAATCCTCCTGTTCTCGGGCCCAGATTAGCCGCCCCATTTTCTTTAAAATATGATGGCCCAAGCTGTGATTTCAAGGTCGATCCTTCATTATTCAATCCAAAAATTGCCTTCAGCATGACCTGCCACCGTGATTCTTCTTGCCGGACCTCTGCGAACACCTCGCGAGTGGAAGGTAGTGGTCACCGGCCTAGAACCCTCCCTCTGACATCGTCGAGTTCTTGATTCAGCCCAACTAGGAACTCAAACACTCTTTCGTTCTCGACTTTTTTCTTGTACCGTGCACTGTCATGTGAACACTCCCATTCTTCCTCCAAGCTAAGGTCAAGTTCCTACCATAGGGATACCATTTCCATGTAGTATTCAGTAACATCTCTCGACCGTTGCTTAGTTTGCCACAAACGGGTTTTAAGTTCGAAATCTGTGATGCCTCCTCAGCGTCAGAGTATGTTTCCTTCACGGCATCCCACACGTCTTTGGCTGTTGGAAGGAACAGGTAAGTCTTCCCTATAGAAGGCTTCATGGAATTTATGGGCCACGCTATCACCATTGAATTCTCGGATTTCTACTTCTGCAGACTCACAGTATCGATCGGTCTTTTTGTATCACCGGTAAGATAGCCCAATTTCCCTTTCCCGTCAATGACCAATTTTATAGATTGGGCCCATTCTCGAAAATTTCTCCCATTCAGTTTTTCTACTATGAGTTGGAATGAGGAATTTTCGAGATTATTGGATCCAATAGAAGGGTTGGCCTCTGCTTCAGAAGGAGAAGTTTCAAAGGTCATTGATTCTTGGCTGTTGACACGAAATTCAGCCATTGGTGTGCTAAGTTAGGACAACCTACGCTCTGATACCATGAAGAATAAAAATTCTTTTATTTTCGATGAATATTACACATCCAATACGACCTATTTATATGACAAAGTATGGAATAAAAAAGGAAGACTCCAATTTGTTAAATAAGGAAATAAATCACCTAACTAATAATCCTATAACAATCCTATCAATTATAATATTCTTTGTGTCTTTCCATAATTGGTTTTTTACACACAGACGCTGAAAAAGGCAGCCACATCACTCTTCCAAGAGACGTAGGAAGTCGCGTCGTTCACACATACCAGAGACGCTAGAGCTAATCACCAGAACGAAATTTCCACTCTGATACCATGTAATTCAGAGGAATTGAAGAATATTTTCTTATATCTCATTCAAAAGGAAACACATGTAGATATGTACAAATACAATCTATCTAATTAAGGTAATTAGCTAATTTGATTCTTATAAATCTGTCAATTATACAGCTAATATTATTCAGTAATAGTGCTCAAATCAGTGACTAGCTAAATATTCCGAGCAATTCAGGCCGTAAACTATATCTTATTACCTAGAAACATCTCTTATCTTATAAAGAAACAATCCCCAGCCTTCTCCAATTCAATCATGAGCCCATTCAATTAAGCTGTGTTCATATGGATAGGTCTAATAAGCATGAATAGTTAGCTTTTTAGTTACCAAATGTTTCCATACTCATTTTACAATTCTTATGCTATATTACACCAGTTACCATTAAACAACTAACCATTACTGAATTGGTCTTGGACTTCCTGGCATCTGCACTCTACTAACCGATGGGTCAAACAGTTAGTATGGTGCCCTTAGAATAATGTTTTGAAACGACATCATAATATGTAAAATGCAATCAAGATTTGAAGACACCCAAAGTCTATCTGATTACATAAAAATTTCTTTTTCATAGTGTAAAATGTAAAAAATAAGTCTTAGGTGCCAGCTAGACTTAGGTTGTTTTATTCCAATAAAATCTAAATTTGTTGATTTATATGATTTGTTAGGAAATTAAGAAGTTTCCCCTTTTTATGATTTTTTAAATCCCTGATTTGTATCCCAGTTGGTTATTATTCATTGACAAATTTGGGCTATAAATATTTGAATCGATTATTATTTTCATAAGGGAGAATAAGAATATTTTCCTCTCCATAAACCTACATGGTATTAGAGCCATGTATTCCCGATCCTCTGTTTTGATGGTAAAGACAGCGATGACAAGAGCGACCCGAAACCCCTCGAGCACTTCTATAGATACATCTGACAGCGTTCAACCTGTTCAACTAGGAGCTTCCTCAACATTTGTCAATGCCTTCTCCCAGAATTCCAACCTGCAACTCAAGGTTCATAAACTCAACAGGAAAAAAAAATCTCTAATGGGCACAGTCCGTGAAATTGGCAATTGATGGTAGAGAAATTAGGGCATCTAACATGGAAAGCTGCACAACCTGCAGCAAATGATCCATCCCTGGGAAGATGGAGGTCAGAAAATTCAATCAACAAAACCTCATTCTTTTACTCCTACAGCCAAGGATGTATGGGAAGATGTTCGGGAGATTACTCTGACAGGAAAACTGCGCAACTTGCAGCAAATTATCCATCCCTGAAAAGATGGTCAGAAAATTTTCTTGTAATTGCTTAGCTAATTAATTCAATGGAGCCAGCAATCAAGAAACCTCGTCCTTTTCTTCCTATAGCAAAGGATGTTTGGGAGACTGTTCGGGAGTGTTACTCTGAACTAGAAAATTCATATAAGATATTTGACTTAAAGACGCGACTTTGGCAATCCAAGCAAGGAAACCAGGACGTCACCATGTGTTACAATTTAATGGCGACTCTTTGGCAAGAATTTGATCGGTATTACGAAGATGACTAAGAAAATTCCAATGATTATGGGCAGTACAAAAAAGGGAGGAGAACTCTCGGGTCTACATGTTTCTTGTAGGCCTTAGTCGGAGCTTGGATGAAGTACGAGGCTGAATCCTAGGCCGAAAATCTGGGAAGTCATCTCTGAAGTCAGACGTGAGGAGTCTAGGAAGAAGATGGAATACTTGAAAGACATAAGGCTCGATTGGTCGCCAAAGGACTCACTCAAACTTATGGCATCGATAACTTAGAGACATTTGCTCCTATAGCAAAGTTAATATTAGAGTTCTTCCATCACTTGTAGTCAATCTCAAAACTGGCCTTTGCAGCAATTAGATGTAATGAATGCATTCCTTAATGGAGATTTGGAGGAAGAAGTGTATAAGGATGCACCCCCAGTTTTAAGAAAAAGTTTGTTTCAAAGGTATATAAGCTGAAACAATTGTTGTACGAACTAAAATAGTCACCAAGAGCTTGATTTGAGAAGTTTACTGAGTTTGTTAAATATCAGGTACACATAAGGACAAACAGATCATACTATGTTTGTGAAACATTCGACTGAAGGAAAGATTGCTAGATTAATTATATATATGGATGATATAATTCTTACCGGGGATGATGTGTTAGAGATGAACCAATTGAAGAGATCTCTCTCTCTCTCTCACTCTCTTTGTGCAAAATTCAAGATAAAGGACTAGGGATCCTTAAGATATTTTCTCGGAATGGAGGTTGCAAGGTCAAAGAAGGGAATCATCGTCTCTCAAAAGAAGTATGTTCTTAATCTTCTTAAAGAGACTGGAATGAGTGGTTGTAGACCAGCGAACACCTCAATAGAATCTAACCAAAAGCTTGGAAATGATAAGGAGGGTGAACTCATGGACACATCTTACTACCAAAGATTAGTAGGAAAGCTGATATATTTATCACACATAGCCTGATATTGCATTTGCTGTAAGTTTTGTAAGTCAGTTCATGCAGCAATGTATGAGAAACACCTTGAGGCGATCTATCGAATCTTTAGATATTTGAAGAGCATACAAGGCAAAGGTCTACTCTTCCAGGGGACTACACAACAAATCATTAAGGCACAAACATATGCTGATTGGGCATGACCAGTTATTGATAGAAAGTCAACATCTAGCACATATATATTGGGCAAGCTAGTCACATGGCGAAGTAAGAAACAGAACGTCGTTGCAAGGAGTAGTGCTGACGCAAAGAATAGATCTACGGCTCATGGAGTTTGTGAAATGCTTTGGCTGAAGAGGGTTCTTGAAGAATTAAAGATAACTATCAACTTGCCAATGAAGTTGTATGACAACAAGGCTGCAATCATTATTGCTCAGAATCCAGTGCAACATGATCGAACCAAATATGTGGAAGTTGACGGACACTTAATTAAAGAAAAGACTAATGATGGAGCTATTTGTATGCCATATATTCCAACAACACAACAGACAGCAATGTCCTCACCAAAGGATTATTTCAACCTAACTTTGAGTATCTTATTAGCAAGTTGGGCATGATTGACATATATGCACCAACTTGAGGGGGGAGCGGGGGTGTCGAAGTCTTAGGCAGAGCCGATCCTTTGTCTGATGGGCCCTAAGACGAACGATGAAAAGTAGGCCCCCCAGCGACAAAATTCAAAGGTGTATTATGTGACTCATTGTTAACTTAAAAAACTAACATTAAAATAACAACGAAATATATCATGAAAACGATTTATATTATAAACCATCAAACCAAAAATTTCAAACAATTAGTTAAATACTATTCGAGGAAAAAAATCAATCAAATCTAATGTCCTTTTCCTCTTTTGAGCACCAGACTCATGTTTAGGAGGCATAGTATAGGAGTGAATATCTAATATCCAATGATTAACCTAAAAAACAATTACACAATATTACAATCATCTCACAATTATAGTTTCAAATATAGTTACTACGTGCGCCTGTACAATTGTTCATCGTACAATAAGCAATCATATAAGCCAACCAGGCTGCAATTATATAAGCCGACAAGACTTCAAACATTTTTAATATCTTCAATAACAAGTCAGGACAAGTCATTACTTACTTGAGAAGTGGAATTTTGATGAAAATTGTGGAATTACACCGTTGAGAATGATCCCATTTTCTGAATCAGGAGTAAGCCGATCGCAATTTTAGAATTTTTAATAATAGCTCCAAGTGCATTCACAATGACCCCTACAAATTGAGACAGAGAAATCTCAAAGCTCAAGAGAGAAAACAAGAGAAAAGTCGGCTGCCTCTTTCTTCCAAAGACTTAAACAGACTCAATTTTCACAAAGGCTCAAACAGGCTCAAACATTAAAAACTATATTTTCACAGGTTCAATTTCAAAGCTCAAGAGAGAAAACAAGAGAAAAGTCGGCTACCTCTTTCTTCAATTGCACACGCACGGCTTATTCAACAATGAGGCCAATATGAATAGTTTTAGGGTATAATAGTAGTAGACTAATATAGTGGGCTCATGAACGTAGTTCTTTATATTTTCCTTTTGCTTATCTCACATGATCATATAAATTATAAGCGAGTTTGACAATGAGTAAATAGAAAAAACTTTGGAAAGATTAACTGCTGAAAACGGGATAGGTAAGACTGCTTATACTCTTGTGTCTAGATTGAAGAATACAAGAGCTATCCATACGGTTTCTTTTTTTTCTTTTTTTTCTTTTTCTTTTTTTTTTTTTGAAGTCAAATATGAGTACCTCTGCATGAATTTCAATTAAGCGTATACGATGATGCATTTGCAAAGGAGACTTGAACTCAGGCTACTTTGTTGCATAGTTGACCTCTGGTAATTACTTGAATACTATCTCATAGCAATAACTCGAGGATTTTACAGGATATCAACTCTTAATATAGTGATGCACTTTTATAAATCAACATAGTACCTGGAATGTAATTTTTTGTAATCAAAGATAGATGGGATTGGGTAGGCTAAAATGAGCAGATGACACCTAATATAGTTAGCATCTCATAAAGAAATTAATGTTAGCTCGATCAAAATCCTGACTCAGTGTATCCTAACAGCAAGTTCCACTTGATTTGCATTTATATTAGAATTTTATCTATGTGATTAAGGTAGCAGTACCAATAAATTTCTTAGTTCTCAACTCAAGGGGAAGGCAAGGCCTGACTCCGTTGAGCTCTTCGCTCAGCCCGTTACGTGTGCTGCTGTCTACTCTAGTACGAGAGGGCTGCTATACTCTATTTTTCTGACTGAGCAGCTTAAAGGTCAAAGTGCGGTTAGACTGCTGCAATGTGCGATGTCTCTGCCGATAATTGGGCTTAGATAAGAAATCCGTCTTTCTTCCGTCACGGTAAGCGGGTTCTTTCTAGGACCGATAGTTCAGTTCAAGCGTATCATAGATCATACTCTTTCAATTTAAGTCAAGCTTGTTGTAAGGCTAAAGCCCCGTGATTAAACCTGCCACCATCTTACTTCTTAGTAGAACTCTATGAAAGTTAATAACAAAATTTTGCAGATTCTGTCAAGCACACTCACACGAGGCAAACCACCACATATCCACAGGCACTCACATGAACTAATACAAAGAATTTCATAACCGTTCTAATAAATATTGCGCCCCAGTAAAATAGGCAGCAGAAATGTTACCTTTACATATATTTCAACTCTCTTTATCTCTGCAACGAACAAGAACAGGGGTTAGAGAACTCAACCGATGAATTGGACAAAAATAACATGCAATGGACTTATGGACAGAGTACGCAACATCTGGTGAACTAGGGTCTAGGGAAGTCGATGAGAATGAGAAAAGAGGATGGGAAATTTAGGTCTTTATCAGGTCGAAGTCGAATCATTAACTACCAAGAGAAGAACTTAAGAATTCACAGTCCTATGACAAATCCAACTAGAACATTTTCGTCTATCACTTATTTACTCTGGGATGATTTGGTAAATCAAAATTAGTCTTCCAAGAAATGTGGTCTAGACGAAAATAAATTGCATATCAACAGAACGAAGCTACATCATGCGGGAAAAATTGCATATCAACAGACAACAGTCAATAGAAGTTACAGAACGAAGCTAGTACATCAACAAAACAAAGCTACCTAGGCGGAGGTGGACTATGGTGAATTGAGTGACCGGATGGTGCGACGAACAGACGAAGAAGACACAGACACTTAGAGTAGACGAGCAGTAGCACCGGACCGGAGCACGTCGACGTAGAGAGGAGCAGCTGCAGCCCTAAATCGTATCTTTCATATTTCAAATTTGGGAATTTGGGTAAATGGGTTGTGAAATTGGATTTGGATATATGAGTTGGGTTGAAATTTTAGGGTAAATGGATTGTGGGTTGTTGGATAATATTTTTGGGCCGGATCATATTATTAAAAAAAAATTTGGAGCCAAAAATGGGCCCCTTAATGGTCTTGGGCCTGAGGCGCGGGCCTCACTGGCCTCGCCCCAGGATAGGGCCTGGTCTTAGGTGCCAGCTAGACCTAGGTTGTTTTATTCCAATAAAATCTAAATTCATCGATTTAGATGATTTGTTGGGAAGTTAGGAAGTTTCCATTTTTATGCTTTTTTAAATCCCAGATTTGTAGCCCATTTGGTGATTATTCATTGATCAATTTAGGCTATAAATATTTGTATCAATATTATTTTCAATAGAATAAGAATATTTTCCTCTCTATAAACCTACATATAATTTCAGCAAAAATAAAATTAAAATTAAAATTAAACAAGGTTTTGAAATCCCTAGAAACAAGTGAAGAATTTTAATCTTTCAAATGCTACTCCAAAAACACGTCAGAAGATAGTATCCTACAAACTTAGAGATCCAATAATCCCGTTGAACAGATAGTCAAAAAGGAACACTTTTATAATCTCAGCAATAATAAAGGGAACTCACAAAAAGGGCAGAAAAGAAAACAACAATAAAAACAAACCTGGGCTTCTCAAACCTCAAACTAATCACAGCCCAGTATTTGAAACACCAACATTTATATGGTCAGATCAGCAAGAAGAAACAGATAAATGGCAAAACTGAGGAGTCTGAATGCACTGAACAATTTACTGGGGAAGAAGAGGACTTAATATCGCTGACTCTGACCAGGAAATACGTACAAAGAGTTGAACAAGTCGCCAAAAGAGAGAGTTTTGCATGTAAATATATAAATATTTGAAGACAGACAAATGAAATTCTGCGTGGTTTTGACGGAGTGTACTATGTAATAATTACCAGTATTGTGGCCTGCTCCTCGTTGCCGGATTTTACTATTAAAAAAAAAAAAAAAAAAAAAAAAAGGTTAAACCGCAACTTGAGGTCACCACCGTCCCGTCCCTAGAACTTTGTGAGAGAAGTAAATTACGGAATGTGTCTCAACAGGTTAGGGAATAAGAGCTGCATGTACATTACTACGCCTACAAGGAGTCCAATTCCATGTCTCAGGAATCGAACCCCCACACTGCGACTATCAGCAAGGCGTGAGATAACTTCACTCCTATCCTTTGCACCACTGGGCTATGCCCCGGGTAGCCGGATTTTACTATTAATTAGTATTGCTTGTTGTGCGATATTGGCCACAATTATGCTCTCATGTCAATATTAAATTAAATTTCATCTTTCCGTCTCTTGCTTTTTAATCGTACAATTTTTCATAAAATAATATTACACGTAAGTCGAGAATTTTTCATTCTTTTCAATCACTTATTTTTCAAAAAAAAAAATATATTCCACCCATTTTCATTTCAAAAAATGGAGACAAACGGGGGCTAAACTTTAGCCTTGATCCTATTGATATTATAATTCATTTTTCTCCATCTTTTTATCAATCAAATATTCTCAAATAAAATAATATTATGCAAAAATCCAAAATTTTTCTCTCCTTTTTAACTACATATTTTTCTAAAATTATTATTTCAAAATACAATTTTCTCAAATTCTCATTATAATGGGGGCTAAGGAAAATATTCTCAATCATTTTAGATGTCTATATAAATTTAGTTATTTTCAATTGAGGTTTTAATGAATTTTATTGAAATTGAGGAATTCCTCAATATCTCACGGATTCATTAGGACTTCAAAGAAATTTTATAATTTTTAATGAGATTATTATGAATTTTGAGAATTCTATTCAAATAATAAAATTTATGAAAATTCCATTCTTTTAAATTTCATTAAAATTTAGAAGAAAATTGCATGTTTATTGTTTAGTTTTCTAGCTTTTAGCTTATCTTTTGGCATCCTTTCCTCATCATGGTTAGTGCTTTTAGACGGCTTAATTCAATCTAACGTAAAATTAAGAATGGGACTCGTATCAACACTACTAAGGAGTCAAATCGTCAAATATAAAAAGTAAAATAAAAAAAGGAATGCAACTCATTGTAGTTTTATCACAACTATGATGGTTGGTCTCTTTCACTGATTAATCCTTATAGTATTGTTCTTCTCTAGTTATCTGTTTTCTTTGATTCCACAAGAATCATGGCCCTGTGAATTGTCCAAGTTTCTTTCTTACAGACAAATCATCGAATTTTACCCTCCTCATTTTTACCTAATTTTGTAGAGTAAAGGGGTTTTCCCAAGATCCAAGATACACTATCAAAATTGGGTTTATGGCTAATGGTGAAACTTGCTTGTGGTTTTGTGGTGGTGATGTCCATGGCTTGCTTATGTCATTTCAGAGGATTATTTTACAAGCTAGAGAATATTTTGTTAACGGCGAAACTTGCGGGTAGTGTGGAGATGTTTTGTTTCCGAGGTAATTTGGTATGTCACAGTCTGATCATGATTTAACATCAAAGTTGATGATTTTTGTTAAAAAGACTAACATTGTCTACGATGATAAATATTAATATGGATATAAAAGTCTAAATTTGAAAGTGGAAGATGAATATGTTGGTCTCATGTAAATTTTTTTTTTTTTTTTTTAAGTTTTAATTTTTAACTTTTCTCTTTGATTGATACACGTTAGTATTACTTGTGAAAATAAGTAGTTTTCCATCACATTATGACCTACTACGCACATAATTTCTTTTTTCATTGGAAGTCTGTTACTGTTACTTCTAGTTTTTCATGTTAGTTCATAAAACGAAACATAGTATTGGAGTTAAAAATTTCAATAATTATCCAACTTATACCATGATCATGGTTTACTCATTAAATTTTAAAGTGTTTTATAGTACTCACCGAACTTTGCCCGTCCACAATCCATTCATCATCCTCAAATATTCGTTACCCGGTTCGTTGAAAAAGCTAACAACAATCCCACATAACAAGTTATGACAGCAAAAATTTACAACTTAGCCAAACCAATGTTTCATTATTTATCCAATTTATACTTGGTCACAATATACTCATCAAACTTCAAAACATTTTTCAGTGGTCACTCATCTTTGAAACTTTGTACTACATCCATCATATGTCAAATTTCATTCACTTCGTTGCTAACGTATCGTACGATAATCTCATGTGACAAATTACAGTCATTAAAAAATTTACAACTCAGCCGAATCATTTACTCACCAAAATCACTATATGTGAAATGCGACTTCCACGACCCCACAAATTTCTTTAGATGGGATCATGGAAGTCTCATTTCATTGATGATTCGGTTGAGTAGTAATTTTTTAAAGGATCATAACTTGCCACATGAGATTTTCTTGTGATACATTAGCAACGAAGGGAAGGAAATATGATGGATAAAGTGCAACATCATAAAGATGAGTGACCATTGAGAAACATTTTGAAGTTTGATGAGTAAACTATGATCAATTATAAGTTGGATGAGTAATAAGCTATTTGTTTAATTAAGTCTTAATTTATTTAATGACTATAACTTGCCACATGAGACTTTTGTTAATCATATCAGTGAATAAAGTAACAAATTTTTAAGGATTATATATGAAGTGTAAATGGAAAAAGTTAATTGAGCACTATGAAACACTTTCAAGTTTAGTGAATAAATCGTGATCATTGTATAAGCTGGTTGATTATTGAAACATTTAACTCAATAGTATTGTCATAGTTGACTATGATACAATTGACATAAATTTAAAAGAAATATTTAAAAGCTTTTATCGAATATAAATACTATTTGAGTTCGTTAAAATTGTGAAATTAAATCAAGTCTTTAAGCGACAAGTAAAATCAATTTATGATTTTGAAAATTTGTTTCTAAAATGAAAATTTAAAACAAAATATATTTAAAACATAAATTCCAATAAAAACTTATATAAAAAGAATATGTTGCACTTGAGTGGAAAACAAGTGTCTCCATGTGTTTTATTTTTACCTACAATGAATTTTATACAATATATAGAAAGGAAGAAAAGGTTCCTAACTTGTGGGATAATTATAATTTAAATTAATATTAATTCATAAGGTGTGCTGAGAAAAGTACTAGGATTAGAATAATGTAGGATATTAAGAAATATCAGATTAATTCAAAAAAAAAATTATGTTTTAATAGCCATGCACTCGATATACGACCTTAATAACATTAGTTATTAAGAAAATTTCACTACAAAAATAGGAAAATTTAGTTAAAGAATCTAGTCATAATCCTTGGTTACCAGGCTAACCAAAATATTTATTGTGAAAAAGGCCAACAATACAAATAAAAAATAAAAAATTGTTTGAACCCTACAAAATCTATCCAAATCAAATTTTTACACCAAACCCTAAAAACACTCCCCACCCATCCCATTGTCCATCGCCACTTTGCCAAAACATGCTCACCATCGTCCCCTTTCCCACATCCATCTTTTTCCAATGTGACCATCATCTTATGGTTGTTGCCTCCGTCACATCAACTTCACTAACTCCGGTATTAAGTGACACCCCCCAATAACTATCATTTCCATTGCCTCCTCTAACACCATATCTGATTTTTTTGGATCTGAAAATTCAAATTAAACCACCTCCTATCTTTTGCAAAAATTCATATTTGAATTTTCTTAAATTTGTGTTAGGTAAATTGTTGTACTTCATGGTTTACATTGATGAAACATTTGGATTTGGCTAAATATATTTGTATCCACATTTTAATTACATGAAAGATTTATAATCTTTAATCATTATTAGATTTATGTTCTCAGGTTTTTTGTCACAACATTCTTATTCTTAAATTAACACAATTTGTCTTTGAGGATGGTTCCTGTTCAAAAATTTTGTTAAGTTGGAGAAAAAAGACTTATTTGCCGTCATATTTTTAAATAAGTCGAAAAGTAAAATAAATACAAAATATTAACAAAATATTAATTTATACCTCATATCAGTAGTATTTTTGCACAAAAATTGTGATTAAGGATAATATTTTTTAGTGACTAGAAATTAACAATAAGAACTAAATGAAAAATTTATGAATATAAATGTGGCAATGAATATAGGTTAAAGACATTTAATCTAATTAATATGTATATAGATGTGTGAATACCCATTCGATTACAAACAGGGAATTTCGGAAGTTAGAGATTCATATTGTATTTGGTATCACGATTTGATTTTCAAATGTTTGGAAAACTCATGAATTTTGAGATAGTTTCGAGATTTGATGGCGGTGATAGTGATGGAAGGTATACTGTTATCAGGATATGATTTTAATAAAACATAGCATAGAGGTCAATTATTTTTCCTAACTTTAAATTTTGGTTAAGACAAGAAATATTACAAGAGATTTCTATAAGAACTGTGAGAGAAATTTACAACCTTTAACTTGGTTACGTACAAATGGGTCTTCATCTGTTTATAGGCAAAGCCGTTTTGAATGGAGTGTCTATGATCGGTTTGATTCAAGGTTTTTGATTAAATATTTACAATATTATATACAATTAAATATTCAATACAAAAACCAATTGACAAATTAGCAAAGATAGATTTCTTCATTTAAAGAGTATCTTTCTTTACAGAATGTCCTACCAATTAACAAATTTAATATATTATAAATATCTCAACTAGACTACGATTGAGTGGAATTGGTCAATATACTTATGAAAGTAATGTTGTTTGCAGTCGTTCATTACCATAGTCGTCATATGTGATATACATGTGGCGGTTTGACTCATGCATCAAATCATTAACCACCACCACGTGTATGCTAAGTAGGACGACTGCAATGATGAGCGATTATAAATAATATTATTTTATTTATCAAGCAAACAACACCTTGTACCTCTAATCAAGAGGTCAAGTTATATTCTTGAGGA